TAAAAAACCCCACACCATCAAAACAAAACAACAAAACCCACAAACAATGCAAGTCAAGTATGCATTTGAGGAGATGCTCAGGAAGGCTGAAAATATGCAGCCATAGCTATCGAGTTGTTTTGAGACAAACCTTAGGCCAAGAAACACAGAATAAGTTGAAGATCCATCAAAAACAGAAAGAGGAAATTGCATTTCACAAGTTCTTTGTAGACTAAATTTGAAAAACTGATTTAAGAGCCTAGAATGAAACATTTTTATCCAAGATATATGGCCCTTATTTGTGTTTTATAGCATTTTACTACATTGTTGGGTTCCGTTTCAGTGAAGGATCTCTGTGGAGCCAGAACCAACTCATAGCTGGCCTTCCAGGTTTTCAGAGGCTTTAAATTGCACAGCAGAAGATTAAGAACCTTATAGTTCTGTAATTTCCTTTCTAGTAATGAATTTTTCTGCTTTTAGCAATTGCATAGTGGTGACATTGTAGAATGAATTATGAAATATTTCCTCTCCTGTTTTTGAGGCAAATGTTTAGAAAGATTAGTAGCATTTCTTTAAATGTTTATTTTACATCACTAGTGAAAGCACTTGGTTCTGATCTTCTCTGTTTTAGAAAATTGTTGTTCAGTTACTCCAATTAATAAATCCATTGCATCTAAATGTTCAAACTGTTGGACTGAAATTGAGTCCAGGGGGAGGGGCGATGACCTTGTCTCGTCTTTTGGTGCCTTGTGGTGACATGTTGGGTTCTTCAGCCCTGTAAATGGTCAACTGAAGGATGTGGTCCATTGACATTGAAGACTGAGAACTGTAGCCTGTCTGCAAAAAGAATAAACAGACTCATACACCTGGTGTAACTAACAACTAACTACAGTGAAATGCCTTTACCCTTCCCCCTTCCCTATGACCTTGTTAAAAAACCTTTCCCAGTGTACAGTGAAGCACAGATTCCCTGATCTCTCTCTCTCTAGACTGAGGAATCGCTCCCAGGAGTCCCCTTAATAAACACTACTTTATGCTTGCTTTATTTCTTTCTCTCTGGTTCCTTCCTCTTGAGTCTGTGACCTAACACAAATGTGTTTAAATAAAACACTATATATGACCATTGATGTGAAAATAAAATTATAACAGGGAAGTGGGGGAGATTTTTGAAAACATAAGTGGAATGTATATAAAACCAACACTGTAAAAGATCGGGACAAAGCAGAGCATCCTGGAAAACATTGAGAAAAAGAAAATATGGCTATTGCGATTAGCAAATATGAGCAGGACCCATGTAACTGTTCAGCCCTCATTCTCTTTTGTGGTTAATTTCTAGTCTGTATTTAGATTCATTCCCAAGATCTCAATTTGTGTTGTCAATATTATTCTAGTTTCATAGCTATCTTAGTTAGTTCTCTGTTACTGTAGAGCAATCTCTCTGACTTTTAGATACTGATCTTGTATCCTGCCACCCTACTAAAGTGGTCCACTAGCTTTGACAGTTTTTTGTTTGTTTTTTCTGTTGAGTCCTTGGGATTTTCTGTGTAAACTAACATATTATCTGAATATAGCCATAGTTTAACCATCCCTGTGCTGATCTGGATGCCTTTTATTTCCTTCCCTTGTTGTATTGCCCTAGCAAGTAATTCCAACACAATATTGAAAGAAATGGTGACAGTGGGCATCCTCATCTGGTCCCTGTTCACATGGAAAATACCTTTAGTCTTTTTGCACTGAGAATGATATTGGCTCATACTTTTCATTATGTTGACGAAGTCCCTTGTATTCCTATTTTGATGCGTGTCTTAATCAGGAAAGAATGTCGGGTTTTTTCAAAGGCCTTTTCTGCATCAGTTGTGAGAATCATATGTTTCTTATGATTTCCTTTGTTAATGTGGCGAATTATGTTGATTTGCTTAACATAAATAAATACTGACCCGCAGGTGCAGGTAGAAAGGATACAACCCTGATTGAGTGATTTATAAATTTTCAACAATCTCCCTATTATGTAACTTAGTACAAGTGGGTTAAAATATCATTTGGGAATAGCCATTACTCTTCCCAAAGCAAATATCTCTTTGTTAGTTTTTAAAATTTTTATTTTTGTGAAAGTTATAGAAAAGATGGATTTTCATTCATTCACTGATCCAAACTCCCCCCCCCCCACCTTATTCTTCAATTTGTTTTATAACGCCTATCTTGTTCGGATTATTAAGTCTCATACATAACATATCTAGTCATACATTACTTTCAGATATCCCCTTTCTTCTCCTATTCTAGTGCACTGTTCATTATAAATCTATTCTCATCTTGCCATCTGTTTCTTGAAAACAAACAAATATGTCTACCTTGATAATTAGTCATACCCTAGAACAATAATAAAAAGCAAAACTGTCTCTGAGCAGGCATTTCAGGAAAGGCTGTATAATCTTAATTCAGAGTCTTATAGCATTCACTGACTCCTAAATTTTCAAGAAATTCGAGTCTTGACACTCTGCACATGCAATACTTAGATTGTGCAACAGGGATTATGTCCATGGGATCCCACCCCTAAAACTTGCTGCTTCTCTAACAGTGACAGATCCTCTACTGCTTCTTATTACCTGAAAAATAAGTTCAGAGCACATTTAAAGGGTATGCAAATTTCCACCCTTATTTTCTAACACTGGCAGATCCTCCACTGCATCATAGAACCTGAATAAATTTGTTCAGAGCATATGTAAGGGGTATGTAAATCTTCACACTACTGTGAACCTCTTCTAGATTTAAAAGCTGATCCCTGACTCTCCATCTGTGAATTCTGCTGCACGATGGACTTATTTAATTTCATTATCCTTTTCCTGACCCTCCCTTCCTGTGAGTGGTTTGGTCCAGAGATTGCTCAAGGATGAAATGAATTCTCTTAAATTCTTGAATTGGCATTATATTCCTTTTGTGTTTTTTCCCTCAGGGGTTCTTTCTCAGGTCACCCTGAAAGAGTCTGGTCCTGGGCTGCTGAAACCTAATGAGGTTCTATCACTGACCTGCACCATCTCTGGATTCTCACTGAGCACTAGTAATACTGCTGTCTCCTGGCTCCGTCAACCTCAAGGAAAGGCACCTGAGTGGCTCTCCAACATATGGTGGGATGATGGTAAGGTTTATGCACCATCTCTGAAGAGCCGGCTCACAATTTCCAGAGACACCTCCAAAAGCCAAGTGTTCTTAACCATGACCAACATGAGCCCAACAGACACAGCCATGTACTATTGTGCACGACAAACCCAGAGACACAGCCTAGGGGAACGTCTGTTCAAAAACCCAGGCAGGTTCTCAGATGTGTCCCCATTACTACATAGGAGAGGATTGCGGTTAAAAGCACACTTCCTGTCAGGCTCTGGGGTTTCCTTTCCGCATTGAGGGGCCTCGGTGCACAGTAAGACCATTGAAGGTACAGATAAAGAACATTTCTGAAAAAAGAACACACGGAGGATCTAAAATGAGCGATATATAGATTCAGAAATACTTAGTCAATATCTTTAGAGAGGTTATACATTGCATCTGACTAACATTCCTTTGAGGAAGACAATGGTGTTTAATGAGAATATGCGTTTGATATCCTGAAAATAGGGAAAGTGTGCACACGCTCAAACATTCACACTAGTATAAAACTTTAAGAACACAAAGCAGGGTGAGGGGAATGTGCAACCAAGAATGAATAATTGGAAAGACAAGGTTCTGTAAATTTACATTAAAATAAAAATTAAAATTAAAAAACGTGAAGAAGAAAAAAGTGACAGAATCTCTATGCCATTAAAAAACAAAACGAAACAAAACAAGCCAACCAATCTACAAACACAAAACAACAAAACGCACAAAGAATGAAAGTCAAGTATGCATTTGAGGAGATGCTCAGGAGAGAAGAAAATTTGGAGTCATAGCTATTGAGATTTGTTAAGAAAAAAACAAAGACCCAGAGCCACAGAAAAAGTTGCAGATTCATCAAAACCAAAAAAAGGAAATTCCATTTCCAAATCCTTCTTAGGGTATATTTAAAAAACAGATTTAAGAGCCTAGAATACAACATTTTAATAAAAGATATATGGCACTTATTTATGTTTTATAGTATCTTACTCCATTCTGGCTTCAGGTTAAGTCAAGGAATTTCTGTGGAGTCAGAACCAACTCATAGTTGACCTTCCAGGTTTTCAGAGGCTTTAAATTGCACAGTAGAAGATTAGGAAATTTACTGTTCTCTAATTTCCATTCTAGTAATGAATTTCTCTGCTTTTTGCAATTGCATAGTGGTGACATCGTAGAATGAATTATGAAATATTTTCCTTCATGCTGTTGAGATAGATGGTTAGAAAGATAGTTAGTATTAGTAGTATTTCTTTAAATGTTTATTTTACACCACTAGTGAAATCACTTGGTTATGATCTTCTCTGTTTTAGAAAGTTGTTGTTAATTACTTCAAGTAATAAATCCATTGCACTTAAAGGCCCAAATTGTTGGGTCAACAGTGAGTCCAGGGGAAGGGATGATGACCTTGTCTCATACTTTGGTGTCTTGTGGTGATGTGTTGGATACTTCAGTCCTGTAAACTGTCAACTAACGGATGTGGACCATTGACATAGAAGACTGAGAATTGTAACCTGCAAGCAAGAAGAATGATTAGACTCAGACACCTGGTCTGACCAACAACTAACTACAGTGAAAAGACTTTACCCTTCCCCCTTCCCTTAGGCCTTGTTACAAAAACCTGTCCTAATGCATCTTGGAGTGCATATTCTTTGGTCTCTCTCTAGACCAAAGAATCTCCCAGGAGTCCCCTTAATAAATTTCCCTTTATTAATTTCTTTCTTTCTCTCTGGTTCCTTTCTCTTGATTCCTTGACCTAACACAAATTTATCTAAATAAAACATTGCACATGACCATTATTGTGAAAATAGAAGTATAACTGGGGAGTGGGTGAGGTATGAGAGCAGAAATGGAATGTATAATAAACCAACACTGTAAAAGATCAGGACAAAGGAGGAGCATCCTGGAAAGCATTGACAAAAAGACCACATGGCTATTGCAATTAGCAAATAAGAGCAGGACCTATGTGAGTGTTGTAAAGCACAGCAGAAAGAGGAGAAGGGCAGAATAAGCGGGAGGGGAAAATTCCATCTCTTGTTTTGTTGTTGTTGTTAAGTACTGTAGAGTCGCAGGCGACTCATAGCAACCCTATGAAGGAGAGTCTTCGATGCTTGGGTGCCTTTCATCCTCTCTCCAGGTTCATAGGGTTTCCAAAGGCAAGCTATTATGGAAGTGAACGCCATTCCTCCTTCCCGTCTACAAGCCAAAAATCCACTAATCCAGCAGAGATTAGTGGATAGGTGTTGGGGGACAAGATGAAGCATAGGGAAGGTGTAAAAGGGATTGAATGAGAATAAGTAATAAAAGATAATGATCAGAGACTAAGGTGCGCCTGATACAGGCCATGGTATTTGCAATCGCTTGTTATGCATCAGAGAGTTGGACAATGACTAGGGAGGACAGAAGGAGAGTGGATGCTTTTGAGCTGTGGTGCTGGAGAAGGGTACTGAATGTACCATGGACTGCCAGGAAAACAAACAGATTCATCTTGGAGAGGATTAAACCAAGCTACTCCTTGGAGGCAAGGATTCTGGGGCTTCGTCTGACATACTTTGGACATGTTGCCAGGAGGGACGGGTCCTTGGAGAGGGACAACATGCTTGGGAGGGTTGAGGGACAGCGCAGGAGGGGAAGACCCTCTATGAGGTGGATTGATTCAGTGACTGGGGTAATCGGGATGGGTGTGTCAGAGGCAGTGTGGTTGGCGCAGGATAGAGCAGGCTTTAGGGTTGTTGTGCATAGGGTCACTATGAGTCGGAAACGACTCGACGGCACATAACAACAACAACAACAACAACATAAACCAATTATATAAAACACAATGTATATGATCACCAGAGCTCCCTGAATAAATGATTATATGAAACTTAAGACATGACTGTACAGGACCGACCCACAGGGTAAGATAATGATTGTATAAAACCACTCTGAGGTAAATATTCTCTTTTAGAGTTTATCCAATCTAGTATTGAATGAAGGCAGATGTACAAGCTTTATGTAATATGTTGTTATTATTATTATGTGCTGTCGATTCGCTTGCCACTCATAGTGACCCTATGTACAATAGCCCTAAACCCTGCTCTATGCCTTACCAATCTCATTGTCTCCAACAAGCCTATCCGCACTACCCCAGTCACGGAATACAACCACTCATTGAGGATCTTCGTCTCCCACACTGTCCCTCCTCCCTCCCAAGCTTGGCATTCCTCCTTGCAACATGTTCAAAATATGTCAGATGAAGCTTCAGGATCCATGTTTTCAAAGAGCAGCCTGGCTTCACCCTTTCTAAAATAGACCTGTTTCTTCTCCTAGCAGTCCATAGTATATTTAATACTCTTCTTCAGCATCAAATCTCAAAGATATCAACACTCCTTCTATTATCCTTAGTCATTGTCCACCTCGCTGAAACATAGAAAGTAATGGCAAAGATCATGTCCTGTGTCAGGCACACCTTAGTCTTCAGACTGTTATCTTTGCTTTTTAGTCCCTTCGACAGGTCCTTGACAGCAGACTTTCCCAATGCAATTTGTCTTTTAATTTCCTGGCTGCTGGTACCAAGAGTGTTGATTGAAGAGCCAAACAATCTGAAGTTGTCAACTATCTCAATCTCTTCACTATCTATCACGATGTAAATCAGCCCAGTTGTAATACAATATTTAATATTCATTTTCATCACATTGGCTATAGCATCAGGGTAAGAAATAGTCAATATCTCTCAAATGCAATTAACACGTAAATTTATTATAAGAACTCAGCTTCATCTGAATTTCTCAATTATCGATTATTATAAATACTTGTGCTCTAACATTGTTGATAGTTTTGTTTTGGATTGAGTAAGCTTCCCTTAATCAATAATATCATATCAAAACTCAGTTTATTGACATGCCACATTGAGGTTTAAATGCTGTTGAGAGCTGGTAGGGTCTCGGCATGCTATCAACCAGACAACTTGGCCATCGTCTCACCAGTGAGTTTGACAAGAACAAAAAGGAGCTTGAGAGATATACCTGCTGAAGATGCCACTTTGGGTGGTGCAGTAAAAAAATTTTTTTTCAATACCTTTAAATTTTTGCAGTATCAGGCCTATCCTGAGAAAGTGAGACCATGTTGTTCCTTGGAAACAAAGGTTTTTTTAACTCTTTCCCACATAATTTGGCCATACTGCTAGTAGGACCCACTTGGACAGGACATCATGCTTGTAAGGATAGAGGATCAGCACAGGAGATGAAGATCCAGGATGTGACGGCTTGACACAGTGACTGTACTTATGATTGTGCATGTGTCAGATACAGTGAGATTAGCTCAGAATAGGACAGGGTCCAGAGCTTTTATTCACAGGGCTTCTATAAAGTTTAGTGGACTCAACCGTGCACAATTATAATTGTTTATTTGGGGAACTACCCATGGTTCACAAACACAGCACAAGCTAGTTAGGATAAGGCAGTCAGCACGGTGTGTCAAATTAGCTAATATTCTAATTGTTTCCTCTATCTAAAACAACTATTAAAAAGTTACACAGAAACAAAAAGATTTTTTTTGTTTGTTTTTTCTTTTTTTTCCCTATATTTATATTTTATTAATTTTCATAAACATTTACAGAGATTTTGGGCTTCCACTCATTCATTGTTGCACTATTCTCTCTACCCTCCTCCCAGTT